GACATTCATTAAAGTTTAGGCAAGTAAAACTACTCGGAGGCAGGTATTTGATGAGGAAAGAATTTAGTGCCACGATTACCACTTATTTACCAAGTTATGTGTTGATTTAAACGAAAAAATTAGAAACAAGCTGCTGCCTCACTGGGCTTTGGCTTAGCCGTAGCAATTGCCTATGACCCATCAGTAATGCTTACTTTTATGCTTTCCGGTTCAAGGCAATAATAAAAGGCACCCGAACCACCAGTTTTTGCTCGAAAATCATAATTTTTCGTCTCATTTAGTAGCGTTTGTTCCACTCGAAGGGCGATGGTGCCTGTGGCAGAGCATTGTGGAGAGTTGACAATTACGGAGCCTCACCTTACTGTGTGCATAAAGTGCATTCTTCAACAGTCCAGACAACTCCACTCGTGGGTCAAGTTTGGGGATGCTCGTCTTCATTTCCATCTGCGCCTTCGGAACAGATCACACAATGATGAAGCAAAGGAGCAAAACCTGCATCAGCGGCTACACAGTATCAGTCAAGGCTGACGACAGCAAAAAAGGTTTGCGATTGGTGTGCATGTTGGCTGCCTTTTCCGCCTTGAATCCCTCCTAGCGCCCTTTAGTATGCCAATTTCAAATGACAGTTTTCGGTGGAGACATGAAGAAATGCCAACTACTAGGACTGGCATTGAAACTAAACCGTTGATGAACATTCGAAGCAGCACCATCAGACACATGCACTTCACGTGTCATTGCCTCCTCTGTTTAGGAGCAAATTTGTTCAGTCCAGTTCAAGATTCTACTGCTAAAAGTAGCGCACTGGTTTATAGGTTCTTTAGAACATGCCTTTGGCGAAGACCACAGAGCTGGTTGTTTGATTTTCCATATGATATAAAGGCAATAACTATCGAAACCATTGGCTGGGGTTTGTAATTTGTTCTTTACTTCAACAGTGCGTCTTTACTTATAGTAAAAAGTATTATTGTGGTGGGATATGATTAAAGATTTAAATCAGCGCATGATTACTGAAGCGTTTATAAGGTTTAGGCTTCCACCAGCGTTTTTTTTTCATTCTAATTACAATCACTTCTTAGCGACTTCGGAGTTGCTTCGAGACGCCTTCCTCACCCTTAAATGCTCCATGGTGTGAGCCATTAATGCTTCACACTTGAACTAAACATAGCACAACATTTACCCTGACTCAAACTTTTAATAGTTTTAATATAACGTGGCGTGCCAGCCAGCCAACTGAAAAGGTGATTAGAAGTTGGAAGGTGTTTGAGGCTTGAACACGATTTGGACACAAATGTCTGCAAAACTCATTAAACGGGAAGAATGCGTATTAATTGGAATAACCGGCGGTCAGAGCAGAGCAGCTGTGATGGAGACTAACTGCCCAAGTAGGCAACCCGACTTCTCCTCAAACAATAGTAAACATGAAAAAAAGCTTTATTCAGCACAAAAACGGAAGCGTTGGACAGCTTAATGCAGTCCTTTTTACTGTATCGAGAATGTGTTCTTACTCAATGTTCTCCTCTCCTATGGTCCCAAAACTTACTGAACTTTTATGCTAACTCCATGGCTCTTGATGCAAATGCGTGTGCACTTAATGGTAATGAATATGCAGTACAATGCAAAATGACAAATTTAGGACAAGCATGAACACGTATATGTATCATTGGAGGTATGCGAAGTCAGAATGTCTTGAGAGCAGGTCTTAGCCATACTGTTCCAACCAGCTAGCCAGCCAGCCACCCTGATTTCTGGCCAACATGTCCAAAAAGTGAATGTAAATGAGCCACGGAGTCTGTTCCACTAAGGCCTCCGTATTAACTCGCTCACTCTCATCCCCCTTTTTCACCCAAGTGAAACACCTGGGCCACTGCGTGCCTTACCCCGTCCATCCACTCTATCAGCCTACAACGCCTTCACCGCCCATCACATTAATCAAACAGCATCGTCTGCTACGTCGGTTTCTGCCTGCATGCAAGAATATGGAGCTAGATTGTTTAGACAACTTGAGTTGATGATTATTGACAAATGTTAAGATAAAATTTTAACTACTCACTGGAACCTTCGAGACGTGGCCCTCTTCAATCGTAAATTCGTAGGACTGCTGTTCGAATTCAGGCGGGCAATCGTTGATATCCTCAATGAGGATAATAACTTCGGCTGTTGCAGTGTTAACCCTTCCTCCACAGGAGGTTCTGTTGCCGCCGGCACAATCGACGGCTTCTACTGTAAAGTTAATGGACTTTATCGACTCCCGGTCAAACACCGCACCACTTCTGATCTGCCCCGACTTCTCATCCAGCAGTACCATTGAGTCATAGCCCATTTGACGACCTCTACTGACAAATCGGTAACGCACCTCGGCCACTTCACCACTGTCGGCGTCAGATGCGTGAACTTTAATAATTGGTGTATGAACGGGAAGACCTTCGCTTATGCGGGCATAGTAGACGGCCTTTTCAAAGACTGGCGGGGAATCATTGACGTCTTCTAAATGCACTGCCAAATACTGCTTGGTAGAGAGGACTGGTTGACCAGCATCGTGACAAACAATGGTGATTCCATGAGTGCTTTTGGTTTCGTGATCTAGAGGCTTTGAAGTTACCAATTTGAAAAGATTGCGCATTGCCGAGTGTAGGGGTTGGACTGTGAAGAAGGTGTTAGTGGTAGAACAGTAAGGAATTGATGCTCGATTTGAAAACCCCCTTTCAGAACCAGCCCTTTCATCTGCATCAGACATAGTTATAGTAGCTACAAGAGTTCCCACGGGTGCATCTTCACGGATGTAGAACTCACCCTTCGAGATGGACCGTTGTAAAGGCGACTGAATAGAAATTATAGGAGGGTTGTCATTAGTGTTCAGTATATGAACACGCAATTTGGTTTCAGCAATATGAGCTTGGTCAGTGACTTCTATTGGAATAATGAAGCCGTAGTCACTGGGGAAGAGAGGATCTTTTGAATCTCGGTTGGGCAAAATCGGTGCTGATTCGTAGTCTATATCACCTGAAACTATTACAGAGCCTATCCGACCATCGATACTGAAGAGACGCTGAACTTCAGCAGAGGCTGTTGAACCCATCCGATACTCTAATCGGTTGGCATCTGAGGGATCATCGTCTATTGCAACGGCTGTATAAATCTGAGTCCCTACTGCAGTATTTTCAAGAATCTCCACTGAAGGGTTGGTCTGACGAAAATACGGCGTCTGATCGTTTATATCACTGATACGTATAATCAAACTTAGAGTTCCGGTTAGTTGAGGCGATCCACCATCAGTAGCGATAAGGAGAAAGTAGTAAGCTGACTGCTTTTCCCGATCCAAATCAGCTTTCACCTTGAGTCCAAGAGCGAATTTATAAGGCGCTCCAGGTGAACGTTCAATCAATTCACTGGATAACTCAAAAGCACCATTACCAAGTCCCCGAACCGTTGATTCATGGTCATGAGGTTCACTAGGAATGAGACGGTAACTCTGTACGGTGTGTTCAGGTCCCTGATCTGGGTCGGTGGCTTCAGGAAGTTGAAATTTTCGCCCAATCACTGTGTGTTCCGGAATTTCAAGCTCCAGTCTGTTTGGCGACCAGGCCGGTGGATTGTCATTAAGATCGTTGACATATATAATCACTTGAATAAGTTGATGTTCCTGAGATTGTGGTGACAAAGGAGCCCTCTGCCGTTGGTCCATTACAAGCATTTTAATGGCACATCCCGGATACTGTACATCTGCCAAATGTGGTAAAAGAACATCATGGAATGTAGAAACAGGAGGAGAAATTGCACTATGACCAGGACAGCAGGCTCCTGTCTCCTTGCACAAACCCTCTCGATCAATCCGCTGCCTCACAGTAATCAAACCACTGGTTCGGTTGAAATTCACCAACCGAAGATCAGTTAGCGGAACAAAATTAACCTCTCTACGTGAGGCGATATCCAAAGCCAACTTTTCCGTCAAACTGCCAATTCGGTCTCCGATGGCTAACTCCTCATTGATAACAAAAGCCACACTTGCCTTCTGTGCACCACTGGCGGCAATATGAAGGAGAAGGAGAGAGATAGCGATGGTGGCAGTGGATGTGGTGAAGATGGAGAATACTTCGGAGGGCATGTCATCCGGTGAATGTGGCCTGCGTGCAAAGGTAAAACAAACGACGTGCACGTGTGTGGGTGTGTGTGTGGATGGAAGCGCATGGCTGATTAGCATTCAGATGCACATACGTCCGCACGAGTGCGTGCGTATTATCCGCGTACGCATATACGTACGCACGCAGATGTCAATGCGTACACGTGATAGGTGCTGACGAAGCAGTCAGTGCACGCGCTCGAACAGGACTCAGTGGGGCCTACCAACCGCTGCCATAGCGCACTTCCAGTCCGTCCATTTCGAGTGTCCTTCAGGGCATCTCCTTTCAGGGCTACCTGCAGTCCACAATCCGCAGAAGCAGTCTCAGGTCTTAGGCAATGCATTCGTATCTCGAAGACTTTGTCATATGGAGCGTAGCTCCTGGTAAAAACTGTAATGTAATCCAAAGTGGCTATTCAATCGGGCTGTCAAAAATGGCAAAATAATCTAGTAGTTAGATAATATTCCTTTCAGTGCAGATTGGGGCAGCTTTTACGACCCATAAGCAAAAATTAAAGTAACGCTAGAAAACCAAATTGATTCCCGTGAGAAATATTCACATGGGAAATGACCTCCTCACATTGCCAGCTAACTGCAGATATCTGTCAACGTTAGGGCGTTATTTTTAATCATATTTCTATCCGAAACTTAAGAATTTAACGTCTGGTCACTTCTATGGATGACAATACAGCACATTTTTTCCTCTCTCTCCTCCACTTGTCCTTTCTGACCATTCGAAGCAACAGAAGGTGCGGATAAGGGGAGAGGAGTAAAAAGAGTTTGTTTTTTCCTTCGGTTGACTTAGCACGGTTATTTGCCTGATAAAATTTCCCAATTCGGTTCTCATTTAGCTCAACAAGCCACATGGATCCGGCGCTAATTTCCTTAAAGCAGTACACTATTCTCAGCATGAAGGATCTCTCTTGTTATTTTGCACTTGTCTGAGTGTATACCCGCGTTGGTAGTAGGGTTGAGTACCAGCGTAGTCGATTTGTTACCTTCACTTTGTCGGAAAACAGAAAGTGTTAATTGTACCTTGAGTTCGCACAAAATCCAACCCCATAACATGCCTGGTAGCGTAGTTGCGGTGCCACTCCACAAATCAAATTGTGATTAATACATTCCTATAGTTTCATAGTTTTGCACTCTATTTCAAACGTGGCATGGTGTCACTAAAGGGTGTCCCTAAAGCACTATAATGAGCTTTCTTTTTCCCTGTTTACACGCGTATCTCTAATGGATAAGGGCAATCGTGTGTCGCTCGTACTGATATGCTTCTGCGGGTTTCAATGGTAGGACTACATTTCGGGAGTTATTCTTTCAGTACTTTATTAACATCATTCTTGTGATTTTCCCCCTTGGTCGAAGTAGCCTTGCTGCATGCAGAAAACGCTTTTGTCAATGCTAAGAAATGTGCACACTCCAAAAGCGCATCCAATCAAAAAACGGCCAAGTCTACATTATGAAATAGCATTGTACATGCTAAGAATAAAGCACATTTTCAATGTGGCTTTACTAATTTCCGGAAGTTGTTAATAATAAATAGCACGTTGCGATTGCAGTGCACTGCTTTATCTGCTGTTTGCTTAACTCGCGGTTTGGGGAAAGGCGGCTGTGTGTCATGGTCATCGGGCCACGCCAGTAGCCTCCAATCCCCTCTGTGTGCTGCATGAACCCGTATTTTTCCTGTTCGCTAGGTCCTTTTTTGTCCTCAGGATAATGCGTTGTAGTATCAGAGTAGTAGGCTGTGGATGCAGGACTTGGCCTATGACATTAGCAGCAATTAAGGCTTGACAACTCTAAGCTGCTTTCTTTACAATTGTCCTGACTCGATAATGTTTGCATAGGAATGCACGTGAATTAAATGAAGGTGTCCGAGGATCGCTCACAACACGTTTTCCATTGCATAAGTTAAGGAGGCACAAAACTGCGTAGGTAACTAACTTTAACGAAACTCCCTATTAACTGTTTTCAGAAATTACAGAAAAAAATGTTATGAAACTGCCAAAAGAGTGATTCCGATTTTTTGGGAAGTAATACTTTTCAACAAGTAGGTAAATGCCATTAGTTAGTGAATTTAAAAGTGAATGTTCTGCAGAACACTAACGGTGTTGAACTCCACTCGTAGACAAAGTAATATTTGGAATGTTAACAGCAAACTTCTTCATAATGCGGAGCTTATGAGTGACGAAGAGGGTCAAAAGTTATCTTTGAGATCCCCAAGGTAGAAGCATCATCGATATACAAAACGTGTTTATTTGCATTCAATGCCTTATTTAAAGCATGCACGCAATCGTTTTATTAAGCAATGCCATGCTCAACTCTGTCAGTTTGAGACCAACTGGGGCGTTTGTAAATTATCATTAAATAATTCCATTGCCATAACCTTAAAGTTAGCAGCTGAACTTGAGTTATCAAAGATGTCTATCATAATGTCTGGCATCTATGCTTGCAGGCCCAAAGTGAGGCACGTTTCAGTGGTTTGTGTGCTTTAATAATAAAACTGCTGTGAGGTGTATTTGGATAGGACTGGCAAATCAAGTTTCTACCAGTTCTTACTATTTCTAAATTGTCGTTTGTCGAACCGCCTTACATTCCCTTCAGTAAATTAACGAAGCATCACATAAAAACAATAAAGTAAAGAACAATAACCCAAGAGGTCAATTTGAATTACTCAGGGAATTACAATAGGTCGGAAGTCGGTGTCATGGGAACAACTATTAGCCCTCTTGTTGAATAAAATTGCGGTAGGTTCAATGCAATTCGGAATGGCATTACTTTGGTGGACTAAAAAACTCCATATGGAGTCACAAATGAATTGTACCAATGTTAAAGGCAACAGAATTCCAAGCTGCAGAATTTTACGGTTAAAACATAGCAAAGTCCTTTACGTTAGCTAGATTTCTGATTGAGTTGCCTGTTGGTTGGTGCCCATCGAATAAGTTCCAGTATGCATTGCGAAAAAATGCCCTCATCTCCTTTCAAAAATACCTATTAAGGATTGGGAGAAGTACGATTGAGCCATTCCACTTTGCGTGGGTTTCACTAATTATCCAAACAAATGCTCAACAGAGGCATTTAATTACCCACACAACTTCCCTCATTTTGACGCGCATAGGACTGGCAGACGAGAATGCAATTTTAGGTTTTTATGCAACTTCTGGATCTACCTAACCAATTAATTTTACAGTCCCTCACATACCATTAAAAAGTTTATCGCCCCTCACCAGAGCTGACCAAATATTCTGACTTCATTCATATTTTATTACTTGTATTTAAGCTCTCAGGGCTAACATCTCATTGCGTTGAGGAATCAGTCTAACCTAACCACCAAAAGTTTAGTTATTTTGTGAAATTTCGTGTGTTATTAAATCGCAGTAGTAAAGATTACCATGTCTCGCTTTAATAGCAGTTTGAATATAAAGTGCTTTTCTTGAAACGTCTCCCTCTTTCATGGTGCATTTTTAGCTTTCCAATCTTTCTTTTAATACCACTGACTGATGTGTGTCCATTTCCTTGGCAAATAAAATGCTTTTGAATTTGGTATTCTTTCTTCTCAGAGGGGAGAGGTGACAGAGACCAAAGTTGGCTACAAAAGTACGCATCTTAGTGGTTCATTGATGAGTCGAATGGGCTTATCAAGGAACTTGGAAGCAGCCCATGAAATCAGGCATTAGTGCGTAATCAGCTCTGCAATTAAGGTGGGGCAAAAGTTAGACGCCAACAGCTGAGGTGGCAGGTAACGTGGAACTTGTCGCATGTTTTGAGGCGGAAGAGACTATTCGTGCACGAGCCCAACGCAGATCGATGGAAGGATTTTACAGGAGGCGATTGCGGTAGAAGAGCTGAGGCACATAAAAGTAGAAAAGAGGGTGGCAAAAAGTTACGCCGGCCGTGTGTTTGCTCAGGGGACTAATTTGTGGTGAGAAGGAAAGTGGTCTACACGGTGATCACGCAATGCTAGAGACTTTCAAGTAAAGGAAGAAAGTTTGAAATTTTCTTTAAAAATTGGAGCATACCTTCAGGCGACACAATTAAGAGAAAGTGAGGTTCTCACACATCCAGGACGCCATAGGTAGGTCGCACATCGTCTTGACTTGCCTTTAATTCACACGAAATAATTATCCTGTTATAATGCCTTTAGGAGGTAAGCGACTGCCCATCAGATGAAAGATCTTGATAACCCAAATCTGAGGTGGAGACGGTGCACTGCTTAATCTATGGCATGTTTAGGCGTGCTGATCCCTCTTTTAGATATTCCATTTTAATGGATGAGACCAAAGTTAAGAACAAAATATACCATCTATCGTGTACTAAGTTTGATTTGTGAGCGGCTTTTCAAGTTGGTAAGTCTAAATGATGGCATCACTTGAGGAATGCACGTGGCAACTCTCGTAAAATAGGCTGGACGATGCTGAAAATGATGTGGCTTTAAACACGTATCAACATCACCTTCACTCAAGCCTAACGAGCAATTCGCAACAATGAATAATTAATTATTTTCTTCTAAAAAATGCTCGACTAACGCAGTCTTTTATTTCGCAAGCTGTACTTAATTTAATTTAAAGTTAACACCACCATTGGCTTGATGGTGAAGCCGACAGCTGAAGTGCTTGTGGTAAAATTATGGGATGTGAACATAATTTTGACTTCTATTGTGCAGGTACTCTTGTACATTTACAATCAAACTGATAACATTTTCGCGAGTGTAAGGATGAGAAAAGTCTTTCATCTTGGATGGATGAAGAAGTGCAGAGTAGAAAATACAAACTTTGGCATCCTATTGGTACCTGTTGAGATGGTCTGAAAGTCAATTCCCACGTTGAAGGGGCTCTCGTTACCACAACAACCAGTACAGGCGAAGTAGCCAGTCATAAAGTTTACTATCCTCTGACTAGGGACGCCAAAGTTGCTAAGGCGATTTTATAAGTGGTTGTTGCAGCGCATCCAGATTAGTCTATGTCTACAAATTTGAGATCGTTTAGGCTCACAAAGAATCCAGTAAATTCTCGTGGTTGTAGAAGTCGTTGTCGACTTCTATTTTTCCCCCAGGGAATCGAACAACTTGGGTGTGATCAAGT